TCCCCAGCCGCATCATCAACAGCAGCGGCTTCATGCGCCATCGTCGTCTCCTTCACCGCAGCTCCACGCCAAGACCATCAACAATGTGAACCAATGAGTAGACTGACTGACACTTTATTCCCTTCTGCCCACACACACACACACACACACTCTCCTTGATGAGTTGTTCTCCTGCACTACACTGTGCGCACACACACAGACATGCACCGAAAATGTAGGGTTCTTTAAGGGTTCTAGTGGTTACATGCACATCCCTAATGACTCAAAGAGCCATCTGATGGGTAAATAAATATAAATAATAAATGAGAATACGTAATCCAGTGAGGGTCCTTCTTTAAATATTTCTGGGTTGGAGTATTAAATGATGCGTTATTAAGCAGTTTTGCTATCACATATAAACCACGGACATTATCTGGAGCTGTGTAGAACCCTTTTTAGTAAGAATCTAGTGACTCTAAGCCCCCACCACCTCACCCATCATCCAGTTCCCAACTATATTATCTTCCATATCTCTCCCAACAGATGCGCTCACATACACACATAATCACAGAGCGCCCCCCTGCCCCCACTCACTTTATAAGATTTGAGTAAGAAGCAGTTCTGTCTGTATCTGCCTATCTAGAGCCCCATGACTTCATTCCCCAGTGCTCACAGCTGCTGGGAGGCAAGCATATGGGGGGAGAGGGCAGATGAGGAAAGGTGGTTGGGGGAGTATACACTGTGAGGGAAGAGGTGGCGGTTGGGTTGGGTGGTGGTTGTTAGAGGAGGGTAAAAGCTATACAGCTTAGAGTCAACATGTAACCCTAGCATTTTAGCTCTCTGTGGTTGCCTTGTTTTTTTATCATGAATGTAATTTAGAGACACAGAAACAGAATTGTAAAATTATAAGCTCATACACAGCATAATAACAGTTATTTTTAATCATCCAAAAAGGGATTCGTAACAAGTGGCTGCTGCATAACGAGGCCTCTTTTGGATTTACAGCTCGTAAAGTCCCAGGTACAGCTGGATGGGGTATGATAGCGGCGACACTGTGAATGTAACGGGGCAAAGCTGCAGACTGCACCTTTAACTGACGCAGCATGATGGTGCTGATGTGAACGAGAGCAGACGAAACTCACGCCTCTCACCTCCCCATGGACGCTTGCAATCTGCTCTGGTTTTGTAAACACTAAGTAAACCTCAACTGCAATAAAATCTAATGACAAACACGACCAGTGCTGCTCCTGTGAGTTTTATTGTTCACTTGTGCATGCTGTGTTCAGCTGTTCTGTGTGGCCACATAACAGCTTCTGTGGTCACAGAGGTGCACTTCATAAATAAATGGAAACATAATGTTGTATATTTCAGTTATCATTTGTAAATATTAAATATGCTAAAGTACAGGCAAAGGAACCTTGGTTGATTTAAAAAAAACAAACATTTTGTTGGTACAAAGTAACAAGAAGACAAACAGGTTTTTGACTGGGGGATGGGTTTAATCTAAGCCCTGGACAAAAATTTAAAATTAGCCAACAATTTGAGGAACAGCAACAATGGATAGAGGAACTGAGCAGGGACATTGTCTTGATTATAAACTAGGTAACAGATGAAGTCAGTACTTCCTCAATGTGTCACCATATTGCTGCAGATTCTTCACATCTATCCATCCATCCATTTTCATATTCCCAACATCTGTATGATGCACTTCCTGTCAGGGGCATGCCTATAAAACCCAGGCACCCATAGTGGGTCCTCTAAGGTTTAAGACTTGTTCCTGGGCCTCTAAGAAGCTACAGGCCCCCTAAATCATTCAGATCCAAGCTTTATGGTACAATATTATGCATTGCTGTGTTTGACATCACTGAATTGACCCTTCCTTAGTCCCACCCCTTTTTGCACTGTGCTCCAATAACAATGTTCTTAGTTATGCTATGTGCTAGGTTCGTCTATGTTGAAAAGACAACCACAGTTTAAGAGATTAAAGAGACATTTGCAAAAGCTGACATTCTTAACCCTGTCTACAAAGCTCTGATTGGTCAGCTGTCTTTCTAACTGGGGGAAACAGCCATCAACAGGCACAATACTAGACCTGTTTGAATCAGAAGGTTCCGGAGGTCTCTGACCTGGCTAATGAAATTAAGATTTATAACTATATTTTATTTTATTTCTCACATCCGGGCTCATTAACCTATCCAGTGATAGTTATATATAGTTAGGTTTTCCATTATTCAATTAATCAAGTTTACACAAGATTCTCTTTTTATTTTTGTAGCATAACAACAACAAGTAATGTTCTGTTAAATACATTCAGTAGGTCCTATAATGAATGCAGTGTAATAAAACAACAGTAAATGTTTCTTAATGTTCCCTTGTAGGCATGCTTTAGAGATGTTGATTCATTTTAGAGGCTGTAGTTTGTGGTGCTGTTAAATAGTACAGATTTATACTGACAGGTGTTTCAAATATTCTGTCTTCCCACAATGGCCGAAAAGCTGAGCTCTAGTCATAGAAAATGAATGAGGGTGAATTGACCTCTTTGTAAAATGCTCACAGATGTGACTCCACAACTCTGCTGGTGGTGAAGAATAAAGGCACAGGAAATGAGAGCCCATGTTGTGACTCCATTGGAGGGCAGAATTATGAATGTGGCATTGGAGCTTGCTTTCACAATTATAATCTGTGGAAGAGTTTTTTTCAGCGGGGCCAGAGTCGTAATTCTAAGTGACACCTGGTAATCATGTGATCATCTACATAAGACTACATCAAGAAAATCCATCTTGATTTTCCTGTGTTTACCACATTCTTGTTCTGTGACAGAATAAATAGGTTTTGACAGTTTATGCATAGAAAGAAGACTATGGGGTCTATCGGGTCTATGGGGTGGCACCTGCCACTCCTAAAAAATACCTTGCCACCCCAGTTGGGTGTCGAAATGATCACATTCATTTAGATTAAAGGTCCAGTGTATACCATTTAGGAGGATCTATTGTGGAATATTGTGGAGATTATGGAATATATTATTCATAGCTATGTTTTCATTAGTGTATAATCACCTTAGAATTATTATGTTTTTGCTACCTTAGAATGAGCTGTTTTATCTACAGATGCCACAAGTTGCCTCTCATTCCATGTTGCACTGCCATGTTTCTACAATAACCCAGAACGGACAAACCAAAAACTGGCTCTAGATAGGGGTATTGATGTTTTTTGCGCATTTCGCAGCCACCGTAGTTTCTCCCTTTTGCTTGGAAAGGGGGTGAACTACACCACAAGATGCCAGTAAATCCTACACACTGGTCCTTTAATTTTGAAAATAACATGTTAAAAAATGCCAATTAATTTTATGATCTGTTCAGTGAGAGAAGATATTTGGAAAATTGCTGAAGAAATAGAAATAAAACAGTTTATTGATTTCTAATGCCACCTAATATTTTATTATTATTATTATTATTATTATTATTATTATTATCATTTATTATTATTATGTTTTTGAGTTC